GGAATAGAAAAGCCTGTAACAAATGGGATTCCTATACTAATATTTTAATTTTGCCGTAGATTTCAACGGGCTGTTCTGTAGTGTAATACAAAAACATTTTATACGAACTAGGTTAAACACTTAGCTGGGAACTTCTCAGCATTTATGATGATACGTGAGTCCACTGTCTGACCATTTAATTATCATAACTGCCCAGTTGAAAGAGAGCTTTAGTACGAGCTGTTCTGGGGCAGAGGGCACAATAAAATGGACCATATGAGATTATCTTGGGTTAGGAACTTACACAATATTTATAGTGTGGGATTATGACTCGTTTCGTAACAGTACGATAGTGCCAAATAACTTTATCACGACAGCCATTATCCGTGAATTAATCCTGCTTATTTTGATGAAATTTGAGTTGCAAATCCATATTAAAATAGACTGGCCAAGTTACGTTTTAAAGTTAGATAACACGTAATGCATTTTGCGTATAGGCTAATCGTGTTTCAGTAAATATGCATTATATGAGAACTGTTGCTGCAAGAATGAAATTAAAAAGTTTTTGATAGGAAATATTTTATACTGTACGTTTTGTTATATCGACTCTTGCAAGTTATGTGGTTATAAAAACGTTAATGTATATTATATATTTATTGAATCACGTTTTATTATTAAATATGCCTCAGGTGTATCTTTATAATCAGTCGGTGTGTAAATAAGTAACATATCATATACATTTTCTTCAGCAGCGCAGGAAAGGGATGAACACTAGTAAATGTAAAGCTATCCCTCTAAGAGACCGTGGAGGCCCGTAGGGTGGTGAGACGTCGAGGATCCCATATTCTTGTAGATAGTTGGTTCACAGATGGCGGTGAAGTTGTCAGCTTTACACGCCGACCGCACTTTAACCCCAGGAAGATTACTGGTACTCATTTATGTTAGAGGCTAAGTCGACCCCAAGGCCAGAGTGCCCCTGGAAGTATTAGGTCAACTAAAAAATCTAACGACCTCACCAGGAATCGAACCCGCGACATTCCGGCTTTTAGCATAGTGCCTTATGTTACATAAGGACTATTACCGCAAGAGCTCAGTTGGAAAATGAATCTCTGGTCGTGGGCCTCAAGGGGCCTGACGTCAAGACGAACCGATTGGCAGTAAACCGCCAATCGTAAAGTAACTATAACTCTCTGACTCTGACAGGACGAAGTACGAGTATACAACGGTAGTCGAGAGTGTCCAGTTGAAGAAGATGATAGTGTGTCAGATAGTGATTTGTGAACTGCTGGAACCGGTTGTATAAAGGTCCAATAAATTCGATCATCGAATCCAGACTCCGTCTTATTAATCAAGGAAACTCCGAACACGTGACAATATATACACTGCCATTCGACGACTGTAAAAGTGTCGTTATTCTGTATAAACAATAGATCAATGACACATTCTTGACTGATGTATCAGAATAAAGTACATCTGTTGCACATGTCACTCGCTTCTTAGCATCGATGGATGGCCTTGTCGCAAGGTTTTCTGCTCTGAACTGTGCATAAAAATGCATACAATTGAGTACTGTCGCTGAAGAGAACAACAAACTGTACCTGAGTGAGCTAAAACGTCATTCTTTGAAAGGAATTTGAATTTCTTATCCAAAATTAGGCATATACTTGTGTATAACTAAGTAACCAACACACGCCAGTCTTATAATAAGGCACTACTGACAATCAGAGAAGAGATGTCAGGTTACGTAGCGTTTACAAGTACAGTATGCGCCAAAATGTGCAGTACCGAAACTCGCGCATGTGCGCTTGTTGACGGGGCATAGCTCCAGCCGCACGTGTTCCCAGTAGTGAAAAGTATTCATAGTTGAGTATTATTTCCGCTCATACGGAAGTGGTCGCCGGACAACTCACTTCCTTGGTTTTGAGCGGTCAGATGTTATCGTCCAGAAACCGCTACATAGCACAAGTGTGACGATATGGTGTGCCGTCTTAGCAGGCCCCTATTTCACTGAGGACGAGGAAGGCAATGCTCTTACCGTCACCCAAGAACGCTACAGGGACATGGTGATCGGACCATTTCTTCAGGATATGAGAAGGTTCTGTCGTGCAAGGGGCCTTCACATGAATAAACAGTGGTATCAACAGGACGTTTTTTTATTCAAGTACTGTATTTTGGCGCATACTGTATATATAGTTGCCACTGGGAACCTGAATATTTACATTTTCATCATGTTGGTCCACATTTAGCCTGGTAAACTAAACAAGAGCGATCATCTGTGGTGGGAGTTTCGTTTTTCATGTGTTCATTTAAATATAAAGGCTGCTTCCGTAAGTCGAATGGTTCAGGATTTGACATTCTCATGGCGGTGATTATTAAGAGTTCTATGCTCTGAGATATAACGCCATGTAGTCCCATAAAATTCAACCGACGATTCGGAGGGACATGTCTTGGCCTATTCTTGCCACATGCTTGAAGCTGATTTCTTGCTTGACTTATTCTCCGACCCTGAAGATAGAGGCTAAATGTTCCTGCGGAACGTCGGTAGACTCTCAACGGACTATCTGCGCATTCGGTATAGCGACTGGCTAAGGACTGGACGGTCGAAGAGTCGGAGTTCGAGTCCCGGTAGGGACAAGAATTTTCTCTTCTTTACGTTGTCAATACCGGCTCTGGGGCCTACCCGGCTTCCTATCCAATGGGTATCGGCAGCTATTTTCCCAGGGTAAAGCGGCCGGGGCGTGAAGCTGACCATTCCCAACTAATGCCGAGGTCAAGAAAACATGGGTCTATACATTCACTCCCTTTTTTACTTCTGATTTCCTGATTGGCTGGACAAACCATGAAGAGGTGAACACCCATCTGTCAACAAGTGTCACAGACGCTCTTTTTACGCTAAACTTGCTGGAACCCACGAGCGGGGGATCTCGGCGTCTAAACAGAGATGGATACTTAATGGACGACATGCGCCACTTACCCCGACGCTTTGATAAGAGGCCGCGCGGATATGTGGAGTCTTAATTTATCCGTTCTCCAAAACGTATTCGAGTATTATTCAACTTATGTTGAATATATAATGAATGTTATATATAAAATGTGTAAATGTGTGTTTTCGGGTGAAATAAGATCCATATACAAAAAATAAGCGTAGGAACTTCAACGTCGCGTTGTTTAAATGTAAAATTTTTGAACTTAGAAATTCATTCTCCTAGAAATCCTATTACCTGCAGTTTTACATGACTGTGAAACGTAGCCTCTTGCGAGGAGCGATAAGAACAAATAACGTGTGAGCATATCCAATTGAATACAGAATTCACGAAGAAAATATCGACGTGTTGTAAGATGAAGGCTGTGGAAGGGAGGATATTACATAACGGGTTAAATCTTGAACTATATACCTCTACAGAATGCTTGTAGGCAGATCACATCGTAAGTAGCTGTGAAGGCCAAGTGGATGTTAAAATTGATTACTGGAAGTTGGCTTGCAGCAATATGGATTTGAATATACAGGCACAATATTGGATCCAGTTAAGATATTTGGTTTCAGTGGTGTTAAATCTTCAGACCTGTTACAAAAATTGGTCAATGTGTATTTTAAGAAAGTGTTCTGAAACCGCCTCTGTGGTCTAGTGGTCAGAGTTCCTGGCTACAGATCCAGACGTCCGGGTTCGATTCCCGGCGTTACCAGATTATTTCTGAGAAATAGTGGGTCTGGAACGGGGTCCACTCAGCCTCGTGATGATAATTGAGGAGATATTTCAATGAAATAGCGGCTCCGGTCTATAAAACCGAACTTAAGGCCGTCGGGTTTCGTTGCGCTGACCACGTGACACCAACTATCCGCAAATTTGGCACCAACTTCGCCGACAAGCGGCTGTCACTTGGTTGATATAGTTCGCTTGCGGACTAAAATCACGAATTTATTTTTATAGCCCTTCAAAATTGGAGCTTTGTTATATTCGTAACAAACAATACTGAGGGTGCCAGTTAAAGTCCCACCTTTAACTAACACCAGCCAGAAGTGTCCTTATTGCGAAGCTGATAGCTGCTCAGTTAGTCATGAAATTCCAGTCTGTCATGTTTACAAGAGGTCGCCACTTCAAATTCTCATCTTCGTTCATGTTTCACCCATATCCGTTGCAATTTTGCCTCCCAACTCCCGAGAGAGCTCCCCAGGGTTAAGGTTTATTGCTTGAACAGCCTGACACTACTGAGAGATGGCAGCACTGTGTGTGTGCTGTGAATATGACTTCTCCAAACACCACGATGTTTATACTTCGGAATAGACAACTGCCACGAAGTTTGAACTGCGTTCTCGCTTAATTATTATAATAAGTTCCACAAGATTTTGTACTTATCTCATGAAGTCGCCGTCTGCCTACCTGAAACGTGGTGGCTTCTGCTCTAGCGGCCTTGTTTCTGTGACTATTCAAATAAACAAATTCAAGTTACGGGTGGTTTAACCATTTACCATTGATCTCGGTCTTGGTAGGTTTGTAGAAACGTATTCCCTAGGTAGAGAATATTCTTTAAGCAGAACCAGGTAACTCAACTGATTGTACTCAAATAGATGACTATACATCAAACTAACTTCTCGTTAGAGCTGGGACGGGCTACAAGCTGTACGACCGGGTTTCGATTCCCGGCAGTGGCAAGTTTTTTTCTATTGTTCATAGCATCCAGACCGGCTCGGTAGCCAACCTAATCTCCTATCTGGTTTTACCTTGAAAAGAGGACTACAGCATGTGATTTTAACACGCACTAACACAGTGTAGCAATTTTAACATTATTTAATAAAATATTTGTAACATATCAAGACACCTGAAGATGGCCGTTTGAGGCCGAAACATGTTGTGTCAAAGTGTAAAATGTTAAACTAAAATTAAGATTAAGTTGTGAATAAACAAATGTTGCTATATGGACGTTAAGAAATATTATATTTCGGTGGAAGGGTAACTGTATGCAACCCACTTACATGTGCTGTGTATACTTGTACCAGGAAGCCCTGTGACAGTACAACTTACGTGTATCCCGCAATGATGTCCATAAGTGTGGATTTGCCAGCTCCTGAAGGTCCCATGATGGCCGTTAGTTCCCCACTTTGGAATTCTCCACTTACCCTCTTCAAGATGCATTTCGATTCTGAAATGTACAAATATTTACAAAGTCATCCTCATATTCTTATAGTGTAAATTCAGATTGCTAATAAATGATTAAAAAAATTCTTATAAAGGAATTGGCCAGCCGACCTGAGAGAGGGTTAACGAGGACTTATCTCTGCATAAGCCCTCTCCACGTCACGGGGAATAGTACAGCAAATTAGCTTATAGAATAAAATGTAATTCTGATTGCTAATTTTATGTAAATAAAAAAATGTTCTTATGAGAAAATCACCAATTGTGGAGAGAACTTCGTTAATATTAATTTATAGCAATTTTCTTCTTCCAGAACTGAGGACGATGGAATTTCACAACAAAACGGCACAAGTGTACATGGGCTACTGCTCGTTGTGCAACACTTACTCCTCGGGGGTCCCCTCTTTTACAGCTCATTTCATGTTCTGAAAATATACTGATTTAACAGCAAGCCATTTCTTCTTTGGGGTGCTTCACATTAACTAAGCCGGAGGACCACTGAAACACAGGCAAATTTAGTAGGAAGTAACTCGTATGAAACTACAATTAAAAGGAAAATGACGCAAAAATAGTCTTTTTGTGCCCCAATTCATAGAAAAATAGTGTGGCAATTTGAAATTCTTTGTTTCCAGGGCCCGATATTTTTATTCTCCTGAAGCTGTACACATAACATGCTAGACTCTACAATTAGATTTTTATTTCTAAATCGAATAATAAAATATATTCGTCATTTCTCGTTCACTCTATACATTGCAAACATGGCGGCTCTCATCAGTAACACTTCGAACACAGATGGAACTGTCATGCTCTTCTCTGCAAATAATCCAGGCTGCACCAGTGACCAGTGTATGGTGTTGGTTACATACAAGTACCACTTATGAGTATAGTCAGAATTGTCATACATTTATGTGACGTTACATGTAACGACACTGATGAAGTGGACTGTTTCCCTTAAATATACTGTCACGTGTACGAAGTGTGACTATAGACGGGGTTTTGATTGGTTATCCGATTTGTTGAATTCTTAAACACACAACTCCTAACAACACTTTACAAATCACTATAGTACACACTGGGTCTTCTTAGTCTGTTACAATCTTCATTAGCACTTGCTTGGTAGCGGCCTCCAACTATGGACGTTCCCCTTCTTCTGGGATCCCGAACTGCCCCAGGCCTCAGCTACCAGATTGCTATCTAGCCACTCCATTTGCATACTGACTGCTGCCTAGCAACGAGCCATAATATTCGTTCTATTGTTGCGTACGTGTATCGCGGGGTGTTTATCGAGCCGTTGTGGCATAACCCCGTTCTATTTTTGCATGCATGGATTGCTTAGCAACGGCTGTTTCTGTGGCTCAACCATTCTTGCATGGAGCAAATGCGCCATGGGTTTTTTCCCCATTCATGTATATTCCGAAGCTAGACTTCCATCGGTATGATACAGGACTTACGTCGCGATGTTTTCTGCTTTGGTATGATCAAAAATGGAAAGTATGTCTTTTCTAGATACCATTTAGTTATAATGCTACTGTATATAACATAATACTCATAAAATAGAATTTTTAGGCCTAATCTTCGCTTGGCGTTTTCAAGTGATTAATTCGAGGAGGAAGCGATGGACGGTACATGCAGCAGGCAAGAGGTAGAAATGTGTACAGAGCTTTAGTCGGGTAATACAATGAGAAGACAGTTTTTGAGATATACTTGTAGATGGGAGGATAATATTAAAATGAATCTGAGAGACATAAAATATGAGGATGTGGACAGGATTCAACGACCGTAGGGTAGGGTCCAGTAAGGGCTGATGCGAACATGGCACGTGTAAGCTTTTCAAGAAGAACCTGCACCGTGCAGAAAATTAGTTTTTACATGTGTAATGATTGGTCATTACTTACTTACTTACTTACTTACTTACTTACTCATGGAGCTGAGCCCTTCTGAAGGAGCCGCCAGTTCTGCAGCTACTCAAGAATTTCCCAGCATTTTATGGAACCCGAAGGTTCATTACCGTGTTCACAAGAGCCCTCCACTGGTCCCTATCCTGAGCCAGATCTATCGAATCCATACCATCCCATCCTATCTCTCTAAGATCCATTCTAATATTGTCCACCCACCTACGCCTTGGTCTTCCCTGTGGTCTCTTTCCTTCTGGCTTTCCCACAAATAGCCTATACGCATTCCTAGTCTCCCCCATTCGTGCTATATGACATGCCCACCTCATCCTCCTTGACTTGATCAATCTAATTATACTTGGAGAAGAGTACAAGTCATGAAGTTCCTCATTATGCAGTTTTCTCCAACCTCCTGTCACTTCATCTCTCTTCGGTCCAAATATTCTCCTCAACACCCTGTTCTCAAACACCCTGAGTCTATGTTCCTCCCTTAATGTCAGAGACCAAGTTTCACACCCATACAGAACCACAGGCAAAATTATAGTTTTGTATATTCTAATTAATGATTGGTCATTACGTTTAATAAAATAATTACTCATAATTGAGCATGACGACTTACTACGTCTTGTTCTTCAGCCAATGTCTTCCATTCAGTCGGTAGGTTTTGGTGCCGTGTGTTGCTTAGCGTTTTGAAGGCCTGGCATCTTTCCAGAATACTAACTATATTGTATTACCACGTATGAGTTTTTAAACGTCATCCATTTTGGCCGAGAAATAATGTGTATACTTTCAAGAGTGCTTAATCACAACAGTGGTTTTATAAATTCAAAAATGTGTTTTCGTTTCTTGATACTTTTGTAACGACACTTGGGCAATTCGAAATATTTTTATGTGCTTTAGCATCGAATAACGAGGCTTTTGTGTGATGTGTTGAAGTGGATATTGAAGGAGACACCACATGCCGTTTTAATATCCTGTGTAAGCCTTTATTAACAGAACTGAGGGGAAACCGGACCAATCTCAAAATATTTGGTCTCCGTATTGAATTCGAACCAGTAATACTGAATACAAAGCGAGTTTTCCAGCACGCTGGGACATTTAGGCTGAAGTAAGAAATAAATTCGTCATATCAAGTTATTGCATTTCAAAATTTTTTTTCTTACGATGTACATGCCCATGTGGTGATTATGTCGTTGTTCCCTCTGGTTTCTCCATATGGCGGGTAAAATACCATGTCGTAAGAGAAATACAATTATAAAACTGAGTACGTGCATAGCACAAGCACAGAATAGCAGAATTCCAACTAGTATTGTTATCATATTGAGACGTATAGACCCGTTGCTAAGCGGTGGCTCTGTAAACAGAGATAGTTGGTAAGTAACGCCCGCAACAAACACACACGCAACAATAGAAGAACTGTGAGTCCTGTGGTCCGCGCCGCTGCCGTTTCTGGGTAAAGGCTCGGTAAGAACGTTCCCGCGACAACGGACATAAACGCAACAATAGGTGTTTTCTATGTAGTCCGAGCTGAGATGTTATAAGCAAGGAGCTTAGTCAGTTGAGAGTTCAGAGGAGTTCTTTACGGGAGGCTGTGAAGAAACAAGTCAGTTGCAAGAGTGCTCAGTTGAAAGTCCGGCTGTGAAGAGAACATTTGATATGTGTAATTGAAGTATGTAATTCAGTGAGACTGTTATAGGTCCTATGTTAAAATTCGTTGCCAGGAAACGGCTAGTGGAGACTGTAACAGACTGAGGACACTAGTCTGTGTGTGTCAGTGATCTGTGGAGTGCACTTACGAGTCGTGTGTGTATAAGTGGTCAATAAATCTAGTCATGAATCCAAACCCCGTCTGTAGTCACACGTTAGTCAGGCGGTTAGTCGCCGGCTTCTCACAGTGGCGGCCCGGGTTCGATCCCGGGTCAGATCATGTGGGATTTTTGGTGGACAAAGTGACACTGGGGAAGGTTTTCTCCGACTACTTCGGTTTCCCCTGCCAATTATTATTCCACCGACTGCTCCGCATTGATCAACTATCATGCGGGGCTGGTACAATAGGCCAATTAGTGGCTGACGTACCAAGTGGACTCAAGTCTCACCCCACCCCAAGAAACTAACTAGAGCAGATGATCTTTATTCTCCTGATTAAGAAGTTCCTTATTGCATTGAACTTGATTCTACACAGTAATCTAGAAATCCCTCTATTCCGCTTCTACACCAACCACCTCAGTCCTCTTCTAATCTAAGTATGAGCCGTTACGTTGCATAAAATTTGTTAGAGAAATAAGTTTCAGTAATGTGAATTAGACTGGAGTGGTTTGGGATCGGTTTGAGTGGTGGACTTTTATGTTTGGGTTCTGATGCACAACAGGAACTGAATCTATCGAATGAAATGTCCGCTGGGTTCACGACAGAACAGAATTCTAATGGTCACGCTTGGTCTTGGGGTCGGTCATTGGTACCGACACATCATGACTTTGATTCAACTACTGCCCTTCAGTACTGCCCGATTATCCCATCACGTGATCAGATGCGATTAGTGTTACCACAGAATTATTCACATTCACAAGACGAATCAAAGTTTAATATCTGAAGTTTTCACAGTGGCTAAAGTTGGTGAAATCTTTTGGGCTGTCAGAAGTGTCACTTGGTTAAAAATTACCCACATTTTAGCGATAAAATCTGTCCCCATCATCAGAATCTGACATCAGACACTGATGATTGGGGCAGAAGTGGTCCCTGAAACGCAGGTATTTTTTTTTTTTTTACCAATTGACACGGCCGTTAGCTTGAGAAGATTTTGCCACAAATACTGTTTAGCTGTCTGCTGTTGGCTATGTAATCCGCAAATTATGTGTCAGTGTGTTCATTGTATAATTTGACCACTCACCTTCCCCTAGTTTCTCTACCTTATTTCCATTCAACTAATATCCAAAACAGCCCTTCAGCGCATGGAGTACATCACGTAAAAGTGTGCCGCTATTGTAAATAAAAACCATTACAGTTTTGCTAAAGAGTTATGTAATTGCTCAAATCTAAAAACATTCCTTTTAAACAGAAAAGAGGAAAAAAGAGGGGACGTCACAGCAATTAATTAAAATAAGCTAATCGTTTTTAG